GAACTCGTTTAATGTTTTAAGATATTCAAGAAAATTTACTTTTATCCAATTACGTTTTCTAATTATATTGTAGAACATTTTAAACATTTTGAAAATGGTAAATCTTCTAATATTCAATGCGTATTATAGGCAAGAGAATTTTGGGTATTACAAGGTAAATTTTATTATGATATAATATTGCATAAAATATTAAATATTAAAAATTAGTTACATATATATTTTTATTTCAAAAATATCTTTCGCGAACAAAATATAATTTTAAATGTAGTAAAACATAAACTATTATAACGTTTGGATATATTATATGGCTCTCGGGGAAACAGTATTAACTATTGGCGTTGATTGATCATTAAATCACTTCAATTTTTAATACACTGTTATTAATTGATTGATCGTTGATTGGAAATTTGTTAACAAACATTTTTGATACAGATAAACTTAACTATTATAATGATGGATTTGGACTTATTTTCTTTTACGTCATTCTGATATAATATTCATATAATAGACCTATATATGTGTATCTGCACAAGATTCACAACTTTCTTACTCGATCAAACATTTATTTTAATTTTATCTGTTTATTAAGAAACTATGCAAGGAAAATATTTCCAAACTTATTTAACTCAGTCGGATAATTAACATTAGGTTCATTTTACCAAAGTTCATTATACCTATTCCAAATGTAAGCACTTTGGTGAATAAAACAAACTCATCCTTCTATTAATTAGCCAGCATACCAGAAAAAGGTAATTTAAGCCATTATCCTATCTTTCTAAGTGCTGGCTATAAATATATCATATCGTAAGTAAATATCAGTTTTTGCAGCTTCGACAATGCTTTAGTAATATTTTTTAAAGTTAAAATTTATATTTAACATCAAATACATCTATATAAAAATAAAAGAACTAAGAGTTGAAATTACAATAATTTCTTATTTAAGTTAATTCAAACGTATAGTTTGTGCATTTTTTAATATTTTTATTTTTATCATGATCTTTGCTATACTGTTCAGCCTAATAACAATTAGCTTACGCCAATCCTAATCCTCTTACATCAATTAACGTTCATTGTATCTATTCTCGTGCCCGTTTCTATTCCTGAAGTTTTGTACAACTTTTACTTCAATTTCCACTGCGCGCAATTTATCATTAAATAATTTAGCTGTGGAACTTTAAAATTCTTTTAGCGTCGTGTTACGCCTTACTATTATCTAAGTAATTACGTAACTACAGATACCATTGAAATGAACTATGTATGCATTTTCTATTAAATGCGGCAAAAAAGCTTTATTACAAATTATAATAATTTTCTGTTTAAACTAAAACTAAGCACATTTATAAGTTCAAAAATTTTAATTAATTCTAAAAAATTAATAAATAACAAAAAAAAAATAGTAAAATTCTCAAAAAATAAACAAACATTTTACAAATTATACATATATAAAATGAGAATTTTGTATAATAAACGCTCTTTTTCATAATTTATTATAAATACATTTTTTATGTATAAACTTTCAATTAAATAATATATATTATATTATAATATATAAAATGCATATAATGCACTATATAAGATGTGAATGATGTGTACGTCAAGGAAAATTAATTTTTTTTTAATATTTGACTTCAGCGACTTTGCCTCGATATTTTTCTCGCCGACACTTCTTTAAGGATATCAGGAAGGAGTTTATTAAAATTAATTTTCTTTGAAACTGACATACTATTATCCGCGCGTCTGATACCTATTTGTATTTCACATTGAGAGCTTTACTACTTTCTCAGTTGTTAGTGCATACTAAAAAGATGACATCATTACTATATATGTATATATTTCTAGGCAGAATGAATCGGGGTGTGCGTAGACTCTGAATAGCATTGCCAGTAATAATAAGAGTCACTCGGCAAGCGAAAAAGTCGAGTTTGATTCCCAGTTCACAATAACTTCTCTCCGATATTCTTCTCGCCTACGTTTCTTTATATGAATCAGAAAAGGTTTATTAAAAAATAAAAAATCTCGAATTAAGATTAATTTAATTACTTGATATCGCATCCAAAAAAATTGTGCTTTGATGAACATGAATTATAATTAATCAGTTTTAATAAAAAATTAATTTTTCTTAAAATTGATGCACTACCAATTTGCATCTGACTCTTACTATATAACCTGTTGAAACTAAAATTTGTATTTTACATTAAGAGTATTATTAATATATATATATATATATATATATATATATATATATAATTATAACTTATACTAAAAAAAGTATTATCATTTAATTTTATATTTTACGCTAACTAAAAATCACTGCAGCATGTTTTTTAAATAGAAATAAAAAATATATAGAGAAATTATTTCGTATTTGTAATTTTTCTCTTATTTTTACGACAAGTGGATTTATCATTATTGCACCGCAATCGAGCATTTTTATTAATGAGAATTTTATTGAAATGTTAATTAATTCAACTGGTAGTAAACGCTATCCATTTCATAGAGTACACCACAGACATTGATTAATAATGCTTGCAGTACTGTTATGTAGACACGCAACGTGTACCCAATGTACATTTGTAACTTAACAAAATACAAGGCATGAGCAATATTAAAAAGTTTCGTAATTGAGAATGTTCTGCACATATGTGCATTTTGTAATTAAATTATAATTGCATAAGCTTTTTTAATTAGTGATTTGTATGTATAAGATACATTCAATTTGATTTTATTGGATGATTAGAATTCATAATATTTGTCTCAAAATAAACATAAAATTAAGGATAGGTTTAATTTCCACATATGTCTTATAATAGATTTTAAATTTAATCTAGATAATTCTCCCGATCGTTTAATATTTGTCTCAATATTGAAATAGATTAAATACTGTAATATATAAAAAAACAAAATATCATATTATAAAGAATATAATTATACATATTTATAAAGCACAAAGTACAGTATTATATAAAAAATTATTATGTCATTATAAATAATTATTAAATAATTTACTATATGTTTAATTAAATTAATGGATTATGTAATGAAGAAGAAACGTGAAAAACAGATCAGATATCATAATATTACTGTAAATTGATCGAATATCAATGTTATTATTGTACTAAGTTTTTTTAAGAATAAATCGATAATTTGTTTAGTAACTTTGCAACTTGAGAAAATTTATAACCATGTGCGCAAACACTCTCTGAAAAATCTTAAGATTTACTCTTATAATATACGAAAACAATATGATAAGAAGTAAAATATAGACAAACAACTGTGTGGTATGCTAATCGAAATGATAAGAATATTGATGAAACTTTGGCTACAGCTTGTAGATATTAAATATGAAAAAGAATATAAAACATTTTTGCTATATGACTGCTATAACAAAAAATAAAGAAACAAATTTTATAAACTATAACTGTGAAAAATAATTTAGATATTGAAGAGAAATAGAATATAAATGGTGTGAATACGTGTAAAATAATACGTATAAAATATTTTTGTGTTATTGAATTTCTCACGTTCGCCAAATAACATATTTGTATATTTTGTTTATCTCTAGAATTTAAAAAAAAATTTATTTAAAATAAAAAGTTATATTTGAAATAACCATAATATTTTTTTTCAAGTGTAAGACAGACAATAAAAGCCAAATCGCGGATGACAGTGCGTTATCCCAACGAAACTAAATTTTTTCGTTAAAATTAAATACCTGTGCACAGGCACCAAATTTTACTTTGTCACGGCCAAGATTTAAAATTGGAATAATCTCTACAAGAGATTTAATTCCATACATCCCCTGCCCCCCCCCCCCCCCCCAAGGAAATAAATGCGAGAGAAAAATATAGATCCGAAAGTCGCTGAATCGGGAAAATATAATATTTTTATTTTATATTCTATATAACTTAACTATTTGCTATATACACAAATAAAATATCGTAATAAATAAATTTAAGAAAATATTTTTGTTGCATTGTTTTATTTATGTCATATAAGATTAAGCATGTATGCGTGACGGTATATTTATGATATATCTATGAAATAAATTGCGTGTTATACACATCTTTGAAAAAAAAAAAATGCACACTATGAAAAATAATAAAAGTAGAACGGTATAAGATAGAGAGAGAAGATCGATTTATTGGAAACATACTATGCATTTATAGAACACCTTATTCACTTCCGAACAAATATGTGAAATGGTGCTCTTTAGTACATTTGACTATCTCTAGAAACTGCATCAGATATCAATTGAATCCAAATGATACCAAAATCAAATCGTGATATTTCAATTTGAGTATTTCTTTAATGACTAACAGCGATTTCGATGCAATAGTAGCTTTTCTACCGCATGTCACCATTAAAAAGGATCTATGGAAGCAAGTGTTCGTATGTCTCAATTTTGTCGACGTATTTCAGGATTAAGTTTAAAGCTGTGTATATGTCGACGAAAAAACGATTGTTTTATCTCACATAAAAAAGATCGATAAAGAAAAGAAAAAGTTATACTGACGTAATTGTGTAATAAAATGAATTTTTAATAAATATGTCGAAAAAAAATAGGAAAATAATTTAATAATTTAAAATAAATATATTAGTACACATACGTGTGCACACATATTTTTTTATATATAACTCATTAATTCTGCACCGTAGATTGGAGAATCATGACAAACAATATCACTATACGAGAAAAAATATGATATATAATTGTATAAAATTTTCAGTCTTTACTAATGTATAATTAAATTTTATTTTTTATGACTGATTATTATTAATTGATAATTAATTTTTTGCGATAATCTTTAAAATAACTATTTTTTCAATATAAGAATATTTTCAAAGGAAATATTACAATCAAATAAATACAGTTATTTATCCTTGAAAATAAAGGCGTTATACCAATAAGTTCTGTAAATTAAAGATTATCTATATTAAATTGTATTAATATTCTTATAGATATATAATATGTATAAAATAATTTCCTGATAAACACTTACCTGTCAAATGAAATTACGACGAGAGTAAAAACGCTAGAAGCAACAGTCACGTGTGCTACAAAGTTGTTGATAGTGCAATATACTACTCCAAAGGGCCAATTAGAGTTGAGAAGGAAGATAAAGTTGAAGGCGCAGTTGAGCAATGACATCATAAGATCCGCCACGGAGAGATTCACCAAGAAGTAATTAGTGACAGTACGCATTCGTCGATGAGCTGTAATAAAAAGTAAAAAAAGAATAAATTTAAGATATAGAGAAAATTTTTATCGTAATATATCCGATTGTGAGAAAATGCTTTAATACTTTTTTATTTCCAATTTTTTAATTTTTATTAAATTTTAAACATTTCACAGAAGTGACTTTTGCGCGGCTGCACATATTCATTTCCGCGCACGTTTTACATAGGTTAATATTAAAATTCTAAATGCCTGTTGTCGCAAGAAAATTATTCGTTTAAATATCTTTAAAAATAATATCTCTATACGTGATATCTTTGTTATTTTGCTTGCCAAACTTAGAATGCCATGATAACAATTTAACAAATAAAATATTTCTTGCTTAATCTAATAAGTTTAGTATTCTAAATAATATTGTTTTAATTAATATAATTCTATTTTTAAACACAATTTCGTAAAAAGATATTTTTTAAAATTATTCTGCTTATAGCTACACACCATCACAATCTTAATTTTACAATAAACAGGTGTTAATAAAATATCTCCTTTAAATTAAAATATAGAAAGTGCCAAATATTATGTTATCACAATATTTATAAATTATATAATGTATATTTATGCTATTTTATATGTATACTAGACAACAAAAGCGCGCGCTTCGCGCGCGAAAATGTAAGTCCTTTCCATCAGATTAATACATCCCATACATTTGACACGCTGCGCGGCTCGCGCGAAACTGATTTTTGTGCGGGGTATCATAAGCGCGGGACCGATGGTCACATGATCAGTGGTCACATGACCATCGGACCCGTGCTCACGATACCCCGCACGAAAATCAGTTTCGCGCGAGCCGCGCAGCGTGATGGATATATGGCGTATAGTCTCGCGCGAGTCTAATGAAAGCGTAGATATTTAATTACAAAAGATTCTTGTAGAAAATTTTATTTCTTTGTTCGTATTTTCTGTAAAAAATTTAAATATTGAATTTTTATGCATTATATAATTAATTGATATATTTTTTATGCATTGATTGCAATAATAATTTTTGCATACATGCGTCGCAATTTTTGAAATTTTATATTATTATCAAAGAATAATATAACTTCACTTTGCGTGCATAATTATATTTGGTTAGATTAATCGACATGATATATATATATATATATATATATACATTATACATTTTTAATATATTTCATAATATATATTTATATAAAATATATAAGAAGATATTTGAAATATATAATAAGAAGATTTTTTGGTCAGACTACAATCCTGTATTGTGTTTCGTATGTTTAATACATTAGATCTTTCAAATAAAAAGTAGATTTCTGTAAAAATATTATTTGAATTTTTTATAGAAATATTGTTTTATTTTTTATTTAAAAGAATAATTATTTATTGTATCTAAAGATTAAAAGTTTTTAAAAATAAAAAAATAAAATAAAATGTTTTAAACAAAAATTTGCAATGTTTGTATTACCTGTAATTATAGCTATAATTGTATTAAAATTAAAAATAAAAAGTACAATTAAAAAGGAAGAATAGTTTACATAATAAAAAAGAGTATAATAATATTATTACAATTAAGAGTTTAACAAGGCTCTGTAATATAAATATAAATTTAAAGATATAAGACAGGCAGTAAGAGCCAATTCGCGGATGACAGTGCGAAACTAAATTTTTTCGTTAGGATTAAGTATTTGTGCACAAGGCACCAAATTTTACTTGGTCACGGCCAAGATTTAAAATATGAAATAATCTCATATTTGAGATTTAATTTCAATAACCCTTTCACCCCCCTACGGAAATAAGTAAATGCAAGAGAAAAATATAGATCCGAAAGTCTTATTTCCGTAGGGGGGTGAAAGGGTTATTGAAATTAAATCTCAAATATGAGATTATTTCATATTTTAAATCTTGGCCGTGACCAAGTAAAATTTGGTGCCTTGTGCACAGATACTTAATCCTAACGAAAAAATTTAGTTTCGTTAGGATAACGCACTGTCATCCGCGAGTTGGCTCTTACTGCCTGTCTTATATCTTTAAATTTATAATATTATTACAATTTGTCTTTGTCATAATAATTGTTTTTTATTCATAATTAAATTTTTCTCTATATAAAGTATTTTGCTACCTTTACGTTATAAAAACCATAGATCTCTCCGATAAATAGTAAACAGACATTTATTATGTTAGAAAGAAGTCTTCTCATCACATCTATACATCAAGTTATAGTTTCAAAATACAATTTATCTTTATCATATATATAAACTTGATTTACGGTGTTTTCTGATTTGTGGTGTGAATAACTAGCAAGCATATAAACTAACTGACAGACATGTCATATATACATATAATAACTTCTACATCATTTATCACACTTGAATAATCTTTCATCACGTAATCTTTTTTTCTATTGTAATTATAAAATTTATTAAATAATTTATTAATAAATATATAATTTATTTGTCGCGTTTATTTAATAATTATTAATTATTGTAATAAATAAAATTTAATTTAGATCTTTTTATTCTATACAATAATCTTTGAGAATTATAAATATAATGTATATATAATAATAATCTAATATAATATAAATATAAGGTAATAAATTAATATAATAATAATATCTGCAACGTTTAGAAAAAAACATATTATTTGTGACATTTATAGATTTATACGAGTTAACATCTTTTCTATGGAAAAACGTATAAATAGGATTCCATATATATGAATTCGACAGTGATACTTGAAAATATATCCATCGCATGTAACAAGCGCATATATATTTTCCTCTCGTTGAAATAAAGTTTATTACGTTGCTATACTAGAGGAATTTTGTTTTTCGAAACAGATATTTAGGAATTATTTAATATTAAAAATATACATATAATAACAGTTATACGTGCGGTAAATTTTTATAAATTATTCATGGCTCTTCTAATTATACTGATACATTTATTATAATGAATATAAAATTCAGATTGAAAGAGCTAATAAAAACCAAGCACAAATATTAGTTGCTTTTTCAATTTATTATTTTATTATAATATATGTAATATTTATTTTTAATTATTATTATAAATATATAATAAGATTGAAAAATAAGTGTACATTTAATAAATGTATAAATATTTTATTGCTATATAATTATCGTTATAAAGAAGAATATAGTACAATCATCTATTTTTGCAACAATTGCATATTCAAATTTTATACGTATATAAGCGCATAAAAACAATAACAAAATACCAATTTGTTGAAGATCAATTATTTTCCTGTTTATAAGATTTATAGATTATTATAATCTTGCAAAGCCATAAAGCTTATGATATGCATCTATCATAAATGTAAATTATATATCACTAGCTTCAATACAATATGCTCCGTACAATCACAAATAAACACAGAAACTTAAGATTAATGCGCAATATATTTCAATATGCAAATAATTGCATTGATTGCAATTGATGTAAAGGTTATACACTTGTAAATTCAATTACGTTCACATAAATGTAGTAGAGTTCTCTTTTATTATTAAGCAGTTATTTTCAATTATGAAGTCAATCTTGTATGTACATACAATATTTTAAAAATAAAACAAGCTATAAGAATGTAGAACTTGTTTTTTTTCAATTTATAAAAATAGATCTTGTTTCAATATAGAAATATTTTGTGGTTTAAATAAATTTTATCGAATAAATAAATATCGATATCAATCTAGTTCAAATTATAATAGAATCCGATTATGTGAAATAGTCTTCAAGATATTTATTGTATAAAATATTTTACGAAAAAATTATTTACACAGACAAATTGTAATCTCATTCAATGTTCTTAAAAATTTTCCACGTTATAAGCTTTTCATAAACCTTATTAAATTAAATTATTCATGTTTAAAAAAATTTGCATAACAAATGCAAAATATAAAAAAATATTGAATTTTTTATCTTGAATACTTTTTATTTTACACATTAACATATTAAAAATAATATAAATTTAAAAATAAATAATATTAAATATAATATATATATATATATAGTGTGTGCGTATGCGCGTGTGTGCAAGTGCGCGCGCGCGCGTTTGTGTGTGTGTACACATATATGTATATATAAACTTTTGCGTAAAAATCATCTAATTTAAATATTTAATTTATTAGCTAATTCTCTGTGTATAAATAAAAACGTAAGAATACACTAGAAGTGAAGATATATTATTAATTTTTATTTTTATAATATTTATTGAGATTTTAAATTAGGCTTGTTTTTATAGTAAATATATGTGTAAATGTATGTGTATGTACAATATATCAAATAAATTTAACGTGAAATGATGTATTTCATAGAAATCTCAAATACTGATTCAGCATTTAATAGAGATACCACAGTTATGTATAGTATCCGTCGACTTGTTAGCAACTCTAGGATGTTCACCACTAAAAGACCACGTTTCATGATAACTTTTCATGACATACATATTCTGATTACACAGTTCACAAATGATGAAAATTGATCGCTTGCAACACATAAGTCGATTGAAAATCTATCCATGCAGAAACCTTGATGCTGCGGAATTTCCAATAATACGGATTAGAGATAAATGCATCAATAGATGTTCAAGACAATACTTTTTAAAAATAAATAAAAATTACTTATTATTTTTATTTTTATAAAAAGTGTTTATAAAAATTTTATCTGAAATGTAATAAACTACTTTTGTAGATTATTATATTTATTTGTAATTATTTTATATTCTTTAATTTTTAAAACTTGGACGTGAAAATTCAAAATCACTGATTCAAAATTTATTTATATAAGTGCACTCTTATACCTATAAAAAAATATATAATTAAATATATATATATATATATATTGTATATATATATATATATACATTTATATGCATAACGTTAACATAAATATAAATATATATATATATATATATATATATGTGTGCATAACGTTAATAAACAAATAGGACAAATGTATAAATTGCAATTTTTATAGTAATAAATATCTTAATGTTGTTATATGTATTTATAG